CCTAATGAGTATGCTTGGATTTACTATAAAAAAAAGGATTGGTGTAAATCTAATGAAAACTAACATTATTGTAAATCTCGGATCTTATAAATTGAAAATAACTGTGAATTAATTACAGCCTCCCAAACCAGATGATCTGGCAATCATCTGCTTTACATCTGGAACCACAGGTATGCTCAAAGACCAGTTTGCTTCAGTTAAAAATAATGGTTATTTTAAAATTACTATTTGTGATCGGTATGTTTATCTAAGCTGTGATGTTTTCAATGCAGGATTTCCGAAAGGGGCAATGCTCACTCATGGAAATGTCGTCTCCAACACAGCAGCGTTCATTAAAGTAACGGAGGTAAAGAAATTCACCAGCAAAGGCCTCACTATGATGATTTAGAATGTGGAAATAGGTAACTTAGAGAAAATTTCCAGTAAGAAAGATGATTTTTAAGATTTGTCACAATGCAGTTCCTTTTAAACATGTATCCCTCAAACCAACATAAGATAGTGCGCACTTGTACAGTGAAATTAAAGTTATACGTGATTTTTTAATTTATACAGAAATCTGAAGTTTCCCATCCAATTATATATTTCTCTTTTGATATGATTCCCCTCCTAAAAATGAACTGCAACCAACCTCCTTCAGAAAGCCTCAGAGATAACGGTTGAGGGGACAAATGATAAAAAAGGAAGTTTAAATCAGAGTTAGGTCATAGATCAGAATCCAAGATCAAAGACATTTAGGTTTACTTAAATCTAAATGTCTGCCCAATGAACATGAACCAAGAAGGTGGCTTAAAGACTCTGCTAACTTTAGAGGAGCTGCAGAGATCCACTCCTCTGATTAAGGATTTTATAACTCTTACCTTTGTGGAATTGTGAAAAGAAGTTAGCTATTGTTAAAAGTCAGTCATAAGAGGCTCATTATACCGTTTGATGCTAAGTTGGACACAATCCAACCCTGGAAGAGGATCCTGTAAGCTTGTCGGAGCCAGATTGAACTTTAGGCCAACGAACAAAGTGATGTGACATCATACAGCATCATCACCTGAGTGGAACATGGCGGAGGCAGCATCATGATCTAGGAAGCAAACCTACTAGAGAATGCAAAATATAAGACAGGCTGTTATGTTGCAACAAGTTGTTGCAACATAACAGCCCTAAAAGTACCTCCAGCTACAATCTAATGTTTTAAATCAGAGGAACTGTCATCGTGGTACATGTATACATATATACACTAAACATGTTAGAGTTTTCTTTTTTTTTTTTTTTAAAGAAGCAAAAACATTTCATTCCAGTACAGTTATTATATATTTTATTTTGTCACGAATAAGCTAAAAACAAAAACACATTGAAATTAGAGGTTGCATTGGACATTATAAAAGTGTTGATTCTTTAGCAAGGCATTGTTCATGTGTAGATGTGTAGTTAGACGTTGTCTGTCTGTCTTTTTTCTTCCCTTCCTTTTTCTGTGACCGGCTGTCCAGGGAACACTAAAGCCCAGTTCCAAAGATGTGCTCATCTCCTTCCTCCCTTTGGCACACATGTTTGAGAGGGTGGTGGAGGTACAGTAGCTGAGTGATCTAACCTGCACACATGCATGTGTTTTCTTCTGCAGATACACTGCATGCTGAGCGTCCATGACATTCATGTATCCTATCTCCCCCTAGCTCACATGTTTGAACGGGTTGTGCAGGTATGTTGTGGATCTAATGTACTATGAATATTCTCTGCTATAACAAATAAATTGCACGTGGCAAATTTTTATTTTATGTATTTATTTATTTGCGTGTGCAATACTTGGGCAAGCTGCAAATGATAGACAAAGATTGCTATTGCCAATATAAAGAGGTGCAGACGGCATGTAATACTGACAGTTTGAGAGTTGCCTTAAAAGAAAAGCAACCTTTTAAGCCATATATGATCATACTAAATATTATAGTGTTCTTCACATAAGTAGCCTATCTCAAAGTTCTAAGAACAAGAGTTTTAAAAAAAAAGTGTAAATTAAAGTCTTATCGATAGGAGGGGAAATAGAATAAATTCTTTTAAGTTTATCCCACTGATGACAGTCAAGAGATGAAATTTGTTTGAAGATGATGCCCTCTAGTGGGGAAAGAAAGTACTGTTTTGATTTAAATCAGGAATCTGTGTTTTTCTTCCTCAGGGTGTGATCCTTATCCACGGAGCACGGATAGGCTACTTCCAAGGGGACATCCGACTCCTTATGGATGATCTGAAAACTCTGCAGCCAACGGTCTTCCCCGTCGTTCCCCGTCTCCTCAACCGTATGTTTGACAAGGTTAGATAACGCATTCTGTTTCTGCTATTTACTCTGCCTCTCACCTTCCTGTCTCTCTCTTTAACTAGGCTGCTTTTTTAATTATTATATTTGCCTTGGTGTGCAGAAGTTGAGATGATTGTTTCTCTGTAGGTTTTCAGCCAGGCCAACACACCTCTGAGAAGATGGCTGCTGGATTTTGCGTTTAGAAGGAAGGAAGCAGAGCTGAAAAATGGAGTGATGAGAAAGGACAGCATGTGGGATAAACTCATCTTCAAAAAAGTACAGGTAAGGAAGTTCATACATTTTGTTCTTTATAGTTCACAAAAAGTGTAGTAAAAATTTATCCTTAATGTTTGCTACAACTTTGTCTGCACAAACCTGCCCACCCCATGTTGGGTTAAAAACGTAGGATCCTCTCTGTCCATCAGTCTGGCATACATATATTGAAAAACCCTGTAGACCCTTGGTTTACAGTATCTCTCTTTATCAAAAAATAAAGTCCACATAACTTTAAAACATTACCTTTCAGTTTGTATTTTATTTTTCCAGCTGAGCCTGGGCGGTCGGGTGAGACTGGTGATCACCGGAGCAGCCCCCGTATCTCCAACCATTCTGACTTTCCTAAGAGCTGCTCTCGGTTGTCAGGTCAGTCAAATTTATCCTCATCTCTTTTGTCTTAGCCTGGATAGAAATTTATTTATCCTTCTTATTAGAAAGTCAAATGTGTTTTGTTGGAAATGCAGTCGAGGGATCTAAATGATTATAGATAGAGTACTCTACACTCTGATCATATCTCTAAACAAAGCATAGTGTTGGTAGCATCATGCTAAGAGGCTCTTAGTAGTTTATCTTTTATATTTCACTGAATTATGTGGAACAAAGTGTGCATAGTCGGCAGATGTTGGATCCTCATAATGATTTATTTGTCTGAGCTTCTTAATTAATTAAAAAACTTGAAAATAAAGGGAAAAAATGAATAAGCTGAAGGTATGACAAATAAATGTGTTTCAATAAGTTTTCTTTTTATTCTAATTCAGACAATTAATGTTGGTTTTTTTCAGCAATACTACCTTAAATCACTATTTATTGAAGTGTATTTTACTGCGTTTCTCCCAGTTCTATGAAGGCTACGGTCAGACGGAATGCACAGCTGGTTGCACCATGTCCATGCCTGGCGACTGGTCAGCAGGTAAAGGTTTCAGGCTTCATGAAGTGTTGCTTAAGCTTTTTAACAAGAGTAATTTTTTATGTTTATGATGAATGAAGCGTCTAAGAACAATGGTGCTAAAAAAAAAACAGAAAGTAAACATAAATACTGTGTCATCAGGTCACGTCGGGCCTCCTCTGCCATGCAATGCAGTAAAACTGGTGGATGTGNTATATATATACATAGGAATAAGACAATACTGCTTTTAATAGTTGAACTTTTGCTTTAAACAGAAGTTAAAATTGTGCAACACAACATGTAATCACTGAGGCTACTACGTTCTGCCCAGCCTACCTTCCTACTCTGTTCTGTGCATCAGTACTTGTTGAGCTTGTCGCTTCCCCAGAAGTTTATCTTGCAGTGTCTCCTCTGAATGTGTGCATGAACAAGGAATCTGACCTTTGATTCAGCTGCTCACATCGTACCGACATCAGGTATAAATATATAGCCTTGAGAGAAAATAATATAAAAGAAACAGAACACATCTAGAAAGCTGATTTTCTTATTTAGTACGTCTTTGAAGGTTATATCCTTATCGTCAATAATAAACAAAAAGAAGTGTCAAAAGCAAACATGTAGCTACAGACTTTTTTTTCCCCAATGTATAAGATGAATAGTCACAGTACAAACTCTTGACCTTGCGCTGCCTGTCTTAAACAGCTGATATGTCCGTGTTAAGTGGGTTTTGTATTATTTGAAATGTCTTAAACACAAGCAGTCTGTTTCACCCATTGACTTCTTAAGTGGTTATTGTAAAACTTAAGGATCTGTTTCAGCACAAGTGTAAATTAAAGTCTTATTGACAGGAGGGGATCGGCAAAATAGAAATAAGTCGTGCTTTAAGTTTATCCCACTGATGACAGGACAAGAGATGAAATTTATTTGAAGATGGTGCCCTCTAGTGGGGAAAGAAAGTACTGTTTTGATTTAAATCAGGAATCTGTGTTTTTCTTCCTCAGGGTGTGATCCTTATCCACGGAGCACGGATAGGCTACTTCCAAGGGGACATCCGACTCCTTATGGATGATCTGAAAACTCTGCAGCCAACGGTCTTCCCCGTCGTTCCCCGTCTCCTCAACCGTATGTTTGACAAGGTTAGATAACGCATTCTGTTTCTGCTATTTACTCTGCCTCTCACCTTCCTGTCTCTCTCTTTAACTAGGCTGCTTTTTTAATTATTATATTTGCCTTGGTGTGCAGAAGTTGAGATGATTGTTTCTCTGTAGGTTTTCAGCCAGGCCAACACACCTCTGAGAAGATGGCTGCTGGATTTTGCGTTTAGAAGGAAGGAAGCAGAGCTGAAAAATGGAGTGATGAGAAAGGACAGCATGTGGGATAAACTCATCTTCAAAAAAGTACAGGTAAGGAAGTTCATACATTTTGTTCTTTATAGTTCACAAAAAGTGTAGTAAAAATTTATCCTTAATGTTTGCTACAACTTTGTCTGCACAAACCTGCCCACCCCATGTTGGGTTAAAAACGTAGGATCCTCTCTGTCCATCAGTCTGGCATACATATATTGAAAAACCCTGTAGACCCTTGGTTTACAGTATCTCTCTTTATCAAAAAATAAAGTCCACATAACTTTAAAACATTACCTTTCAGTTTGTATTTTATTTTTCCAGCTGAGCCTGGGCGGTCGGGTGAGACTGGTGATCACCGGAGCAGCCCCCGTATCTCCAACCATTCTGACTTTCCTAAGAGCTGCTCTCGGTTGTCAGGTCAGTCAAATTTATCCTCATCTCTTTTGTCTTAGCCTGGATAGAAATTTATTTATCCTTCTTATTAGAAAGTCAAATGTGTTTTGTTGGAAATGCAGTCGAGGGATCTAAATGATTATAGATAGAGTACTCTACACTCTGATCATATCTCTAAACAAAGCATAGTGTTGGTAGCATCATGCTAAGAGGCTCTTAGTAGTTTATCTTTTATATTTCACTGAATTATGTGGAACAAAGTGTGCATAGTCGGCAGATATTGGATCCTCATAATGATTTATTTGTCTGAGCTTCTTAATTAATTAAAAAACTTGAAAATAAAGGGAAAAAATGAATAAGCTGGAGGTATGACAAATAAATGTGTTTCAATAAGTTTTCTTTTTATTCTAATTCAGACAATTAATGTTGGTTTTTTTCAGCAATACTACCTTAAATCACTATTTATTGAAGTGTATTTTACTGCGTTTCTCCCAGTTCTATGAAGGCTACGGTCAGACGGAATGCACAGCTGGTTGCACCATGTCCATGCCTGGCGACTGGTCAGCAGGTAAAGGTTTCAGGCTTCATGAAGTGTTGCTTAAGCTTTTTAACAAGAGTAATTTTTTATGTTTATGATGAATGAAGCGTCTAAGAACGATGGTGCTTAAAAAAAAAAAAAAAAACAGAAAGTAAACATAAATACTGTGTCATCAGGTCACGTCGGGCCTCCTCTGCCATGCAATGCAGTAAAACTGGTGGATGTGGCAGAAATGAACTACCTGGCAGCCAACGGAGAAGGAGAGGTGAGAATGCAAATTTATTTTTCTTAGGCTTAGCTGTTAGGGTATCATCCTGTGCACTACTTTTTTAGTTTGTGTTATATTTTTAAATGTAAGATTGCAGCTTGCAGATCATAACATTTCATGTCTGTACCCATGAACTTCATTTACATCTGCAGATTGTTATTTTTTCCTTTAGTAGAGTAAGACATACATAATTCATTTGTGCCAACTTTGTTTTTATTAAACATAAGCGTAGCAACCATTGATCATGAAGGCTCACTGACAGTGTTGTATTACAGTGGTTCCCAACCTTTTTTGACTCATGTAACCCCTTGGCCATTTTATCATACCATGAGTATCTCCTTGGAAAGTGCAACTGATTATAAAATGTAAAACATTAATTTAATCTCCTTAAGTTGAACATTTATTGCTCAGTTATTTCAATATTTTCAATTAGAATAAAATAATAACTTAAATCTGTTGACTGGAAAGTGAAACAGCACTAAAATAAATACAAAAGAAGATTCATTAACAAATATACTTTTTTTGAACAAAAAATGAAGCTCCTCTGAATGAGTCACTTATAGACAAATATTAACTCCATAAATCAGGAAAAAAAAATTGTATCATAATTTACTGTGTTAATGAAACAGTCGGCCTTCTCCTGAATCGCCTGCAATGGGACGTTTTAGCCATTTATCCTTGACTGCAGCTGCTTTGGTGCATTCTTCTCTTGTGACTTTTCACGTTGCCCCTGAGAGCAGTAGTGCAGGTGCACAGCACTGATACCCAATCTAGTCTTTCATGTAAATGTTGATTAGGACATTTTCTTTTTATCTTTTTGGTTGTTAAAATCTTGGTTTATTTTGCATTTGGGTGTTACAAAGAAAAACCCAGCCCAGCCCTGTTTTATTGTAGTTCTTACCTAGGAAGTAAAATATTTACCCCCTGCAATGCATTGGCAGACCCTGTTGTATTCAACAGAATATGAATTAAAAGCAATACTATCTCCAATTTGCATCAAGTTTTTACTAATGTGGCGAATAAATAAAAGAATCTAAAAATGAATTGGTTAAGTTATCTCGTTTCCTTACATAAAACTGCCTTTAGCAAATGTGCATGTTACACAGAAAAAAAAGCTTTAGAAAGGACAAAATATTCTAAAATTGTTTGTACTGTAAATGTGATGTTAGTTAAAATCTCTGAAATATTATGTCAATAACAGTAAGAGGGATTATTTTTTTCCCAGTTAGGCATTGTTGATCTGTGTTTCATTACAGGTTTGTGTGAAAGGACCAAATGTATTCAAGGGATACTTGAATGACCCTGAGAGAACAGCAGAGGCAATAGACAAGGATGGATGGCTGCACACTGGAGACATTGGGAAATGGCTCCCAGTAAGCAAAACACTGGAAAGTAGAACTCTGATTAGAAACTTTCAAGTTTGACGTCATTAAAAGGCCTTCCTATCGATTCCAGAATGGCATTCTGAAGATCGTTGACAGGAAGAAACACATTTTCAAGCTGGCACAAGGAGAGTACATCGCCCCGGAGAAAATAGAGACCGTTTATAATCGAAGCGATCCAGTGGCTCAGATATTTGTTCATGGAGACAGCTTAAAGGTTAAGTATTATAAAAATAACAATAATCTTGTTTTATAATATTGCAAATACGTTGCCTCATTTAATTCTCTTCATGTTTTTTTTAGGCATGCTTGGTGGGGATCGTGGTACCAGATCCAGACTTTTTACCAATGTGGGCCAAGAGAAAAGGATTTGAAGGATCCTACCTCGACCTGTGCAGTAACAAGGTTTGATTCTTACAAAAGCAGTGATGTAATTATGGAGCTCTAGATATACGGTCTTAGCTGTTTTTGATTGCTTTATTGAAGGATGTAAAGGCGGCTATTCTGGAGGACATCCTGGTTTTGGGGAAAGAAGCTGGACTAAAGTCGTTTGAACAAGTGAGTAATGATGGAAAAAAAAAAAGGTCAAAAACTTATCGTATTATTAATTAGTAATGCATCAACTTATGTCAGCAGTATCTGCTGACACACAGCCATTGAGGAATGACTGAGAATACATAATCCAAACCCTGATCCGTATTGACTTTTCTACCTGTTCCATTGTAGGTGAGAGATATTGCATTACATCCTGAGATGTTTACTGTCCAAAACGGTCTGCTGACTCCCACCCTGAAGGCCAAGAGGAACGAACTCCGGAATCACTTCAGAGAGCAGATTGATGAACTTTATGCCAAAATCAAAATGTGAGCTGGAACTGAGAATCCACCACAGCATGGCCTCCCAACAAACCAAATCATTTCTGCAGAAGATTCAAGCTATTTCGTAGAAGGTATTTTAAACAAATTGTACAGGGGCTCAAGAAAAAAAAAATCGCAAAGAGAAAAATTGAGCTTCTCATAATTTCACTGCCATTTGATCTCTTTATGATCAGAACATTCAGGCTCCAGTATTTTTATAGAAACTTTAATTCCAGAAATAATATTCGAACTAAAAAAAAACCTCTATTACATCAACTCAACTATTTATACGCCAAGCTATTTATAAGTTGGTATTTAATATCATCAAGTCTGTAAATAGTTTATTTGCTTGAAAACTGTATTTGTATGGAGAACAGCATGTCTGAGACTCTAGCTATAATCTACTGCATTCCTGTCTGTCTTGTTGAAGAGCTCTTTAAAATGTATAAAGCGAGGTTTAGTCAAGAGTGTTTGGGTTCAGGTGCCTTTGCTTTGTGTTTTTGTAAAGTGCATGTAAAATGTTTAATATATCTGTAGAGTAAAAGCAAAGACTTCTTTGAAGAAGACGTGGCTGACGTTTGTAGCTCTAAGTTGATGCAGTGAACAAACAAAACCCAGAGAAAAAAGGCTTTGGTTTTAAACATCACCAGGAATACTAATTAGACCCATTAATCACAGATTTCTAGTTTTAATACAGCCTTGACCAGCAGATGTATGTTATTAGAAGCTACAACATAAGAAGAGTAATGAAAATGAAACTTTTTTTAGAAGCTGAAGTGATTTTAAATCCCCTTTATAAAAAGGGATCCCTGAAAAACAAAGCTTTAATTGAACTTTTTTTAATGAAAAACAAGATAAATTCTAAGTTTAAATGCTCCTCCTTAGTGTGTTCCAGTATTGATGAGCACAGGGACAATAAAAACCTTGCTGTGTTTACTACAGAATGTAACTCCTTACTGCATCTCTGTGGGGATTTTCAAAGAGTTGTTACCATTTCCAAATCCAACAATTTCCTTTAAAAAAAAAAGTTTAAAACTGAACATTTATGCTGTTATATGTTCAGCCTTCCTGTTATCTGCTAGAAATCGTGCTTTCTCAGATGACTCAACAGGTCAAAGACAGCATTTCCTGTTATTAAGCTTTTTACACCTCCTTTAATCACGATGATGTCAGTTAAACACCCCAATGAGACTGAAACAGGTTTTTTTTATTCTAGTCTTTTCTGCTGCATCATTAAAGCATCTAGAACACTGACTGTTGTCTGGTAGCATTTGGATATGATGGGACCTACTGATCTTAAGATTAAACTTTTGAGTCTCCAGATCATCCTGTAAAGATGATTTCTGGGATTTTTAAGTGTTTAAAGCTACATTTTACAGCATGAAGTGAATTCAGCATGAATTGGATGATGAAACACCAGGTGGTAGCAGGGATCTTTTCATTTAGACCCATAAGTCATGTGTAAACTATCATCTTTGTAAACCACCCTCTGGAAATCTGTTGTTGGGTTTGAAAACAACTTAGTGTCCCTCCCGGTTCCTGGATGCTTAAAGTTTTTATTTACAGTATAAAGAAACATAAAACAACTTTAGACGGCACTCTCCATACAAATTTAAGTTTGTCTGACCAAGTAAGGTACATAAAATGTCACATTCAAAATTACTGTAAAAGTGCATCTCCATTTATTTACAAACCAATTAACTCCAGAAAAGGTTCATTTCAGCAGTTTCACTGATAAATGTTGAGGAAATTATAAACTGTTTATGTTAAGGAAGGGATTTATAATGTTTCTGTTATTCATGTGTTTATAAGAAAATATTTTGCTTTGGCTCAAATTTGTAAAAAAAAAAAACCTTTGAAAAAAGTGTAAATTGTAATAATGTGCTGCTAATATTGACAAAAAATATAGTTTTCTGGGGGCGTGTTTTTTTTTTTTTTTTTTTCAAAGTTTGGCAGCGACTGGGTTTAAGGTAAAGATTTCCCAACAGGCAAATACATTTCACAGAGAAAGAGAAGATTCTCTGAAGGAATTCAAATGTCCCTCCCTTTCTTCAAGCTACCTGAAAAATAAAACGGTCTTCAGATTTCAATATCCTCTGCAAAGCTCAGGATGTCAAATGCTCTGTGATGTTAAAGCTCACATTTTTAACACTCTTGTAACAAAAAGGAGGGAAAAAATGTTTTATTTAAAATTATAAGATATTTGTCAAATAAAATATTTTCTTCCAACATTTTTATTTCCAAGTTTCCTATCAGTTTATTCTATTTTATAGGCCTTTTTGGGGTTTATAGCAGCCTTTATAATGTACAGCTGTGTTGCTTGAGAAGCTTGATTAACAATTATTATTCAGAACCCATATTTTCACGTTAAATGATTGGTTTATGACACATTTATTAAATAAAGAGAATAAAAAGGGAATATTCTGTACTATTAGTAAAATGTGCCATTTTCTCTTTTTACACCTGCATGTCTTCATCCTGAGTTAATAAAAGGTTTGCTTATAGCTGATTTAAATGGGTTTTTATGAGGACGTCAGTTATCGCAGCAGAACACAGTCTCCCTCTAGGAGTCAAAGTCTGCCACACATGTGAGGAGAAGCTGGTCGGAGATCTCTACACTGTTCTCTTCAAAGTCATTCAGGCTCTTCAAATACTCCTGCTCGTCCTGCTCTTTTCCCCACACATCTTCAGGAGTCTCCTCTACCGTACAGACGGAGCCATTTGAGGCCTGGCTGGGCTCGATGTTTCCAGTGTCGTCCATTAAATAGGCCTGATCATCCTCATCCTGTCAGATGAAAGCAGACATGCTCACTATTTATGGAGGCTGTTCTTGAGTACAAATAACCAGAGATTTTAATTTCTTAATCTTTAGTCATTGACATGAACTAACCAGAGTCAGGATGTAGCTGACGCAGATCTCTTGTGGCAGTGGAAAACCTGCAGGAAAGCACCAGTTTACAACTTCTTCTTTTTTTTCTTCCTAAAAATGCTTTTATTTAGAAATTTTGCAGATAATAATGTGATTAAAGGTCACCACTTACTGGAGGACCGGAAGATCCTGCAGTCTGGATCATGACACTTCTGGTACCAGACTTCTTCTTTCAGGTCAACAACAATCCTGCAAAGGAGAAGGAGGCGGGGGGAGTCAGAGGAAAAGAAAACTGTAGGGAGCTTTCAGAAGAACTGGAGGCAAAGTGTGGTGCACACATGATGTTGTTGCTCTTATGAAACCTTCCCACGTTCTCACACCAGCGGTATTTGGCAATGTCATAGACAAGAAGCTGCTCTGCAGCAAAGTAGCTCCATCTTCGAATGCCTGCGGAGATCAGGAAGCAATTTGAGCACAAGGCAGATTCAGATTTTAAAAAATAGCCTGGAAACAAGTCAGTTTATCAGGGGGAAAAAAAATCTAAAATATCCTAAATAAAAACATAATCTTTAATGATTTTATTCTAATGACTCTAGGTCATGTTTGTGGCATAATCAATGCATTAAGACATTTTTAATCATATACAAGTCCCTAAAAAAATATATTATTATATATTTTTATTATAAAAACACAGGCAGTGTGACATTGTAATAATGTAATAGTCCTCTACACTTCAACTTACAAGATAATTACACTAATTAAACCAAACAAAGACCAAGCATTGAAATTTAAGAAACAATAAAAGCAAAGCGAGGCCGGAGAATGTTGCCCAATCCTCTCTGCTGCTCCCCTGACCCGGATTAAACGAGGAGTACAAGTACATAAAGCAAAACCTGAAATAAAATCTTAATACTATGTCTGACGTACCCTGCGGCAGGAATGAGACATTTTAAAGACTGAATATTCCCTTACTTCCCTGAACCCCATCCTTTCTGACCAAGGTTAACACAAAGTTGTCCACTTCTTGGTACGGAGAAGACAGGCAGCCAGACAGTGTTCCTGTAAGAAAAAGACCGGGAGATGTTTGGAATCCAAAGCATTCAGATAGAAAAAAAAGATTAAAAGTAAAACCAAGGACAATTTGTACAATGTATGAATGTATGTATACACAACAAAATAAACTGGTATGATCTAGAAAACAAACATTATTTTTCATTGTTGAGATTACACAAGGAAAAACTGTATTTTAACTTTACTGTTGTAGCAGAATGCATTATTACCAAGCAGATGGCATAATGACTTGAATGGTAGGCAGAAAGGAAATATTGTCACATTTAGAGTTACCTGGATTTGAATCAGATCCCTGCTGGCAGTGAGGCGTTGGGGATTCAGCCTCTTTTTTTTCTGGGGCGTCCCACGTTAGAATCCTCTGGCCCGTGAAACTGAAAAGAAAGTCGAGAGAATGTCCAAAGAAATTAGCTAAGAAATTTTTTTCAAAGCATTACGAAAAACTGGCACGTACCAAATATTACAGACCAAAGAGGCAAAGAATACACTTTCCTCAACAGACATTCCTTTTGCAGGTTTGGCAGCAAACTGGTTGTCCTGAGCCACAGTGAATGCAGCGTTTCTCCCCACCTTAGACGACTTGTACAGCCGAAAGTTCCTGTTCCTGGTGTACACACCTGTTTGTGTGAATTCAAATCAAAATGTTTGAAACGGGAAAAGTTATTTATCAATAGTGGCCCCCCCACCAAAAAGAAAAACTGTAAATAAAAGATGTCCTGTCACTCTTTAAAACTGGAAACAAAGTTTGAGAAACTTGACTTTTTTTTTCTTCAATTTTATGCCAACAAACTTTTTTTTTGGTCAATAATAAATAACAATGATTAAACACACATTTAGCACAAATTAATATTTTCGTTTTAACACCACACACTCACCCAGATCAACAAAAAGACATTTATGACCATCCTTGTTTTTCACCATCAGGAAGCTGAGGTCTCTCTCTTCCTGTTTTCTCCTCTTCATATCTGGACTTTGATCCACCTCAGACACAAGCGCTCTGCGCAAGAATTACACTAACTGATGACAAACCAAAATATATTTCAATAAAAAAAGCCATAAAAAAAGAAAACTGACTGTTTACTGTTGTCCTCCTGTGACACGTCTCTTTCACTTCTGAGTTTGGTGATGATGGGCTGAAGAATAGCATGGATGAATCTACCTAAAAGAAATAAAGGAACATGAGTAAAAATACACGAATATTCAAAAGAAAAAAATAAATATCATGGTTTTCTTGTGGGGCTGAACATACCAACATGGAGGTTGTCTTTAAAAGCCGCGTTTTGTAGCATGAAGATAAGATGGCGACTAAACTTGTCATCCGTGCTGGAGTCCAGGTTCAGGACGTTTTTCACAGAGCATTCAATCCCATAAACCTCCATCAACTTTTCACAGACATACTGTCAACACAACAAAGTCCACGTTTGGACACTCAGAGGCCACTTTATTAGGTATATCTGTTTACCTGAGTGTTCCCACAGACAGCAAATCAGACATCTGGCAGTATTTCAAAGATGGGAAATTGAAATTTAAGAAACGTTTTTTCTGAATATTTCTAGAAAAGCTGATCATGAGTTTAAAGAGAATAGCCTATACAAAAAAAGATACTATTCAGTGAGCTGTGTGGACAGAAATGCCACGCTGGTGTCAATTACATCACTGGACCAGGCTGCTGCTGGTGGATGTATAATGGTGTGGAGGGACATTTAGGCCTCTTTGTACCAGTTGATCCCAGTTCAAGTAACACAGCAGGACCATCTCTTTATACATACTGAGGATCTGACCTTTAATACTTCCTTCCAGCAGCATAATGCTTTTAAACCTAATCTTATCTTGAATTAGCGTTTAGTCTAGTCACCTGGTATGAATCCTATGCAGCTCCTTGGAGATGTGGTAAAACAGGTCACTTGTAGCAAGGATGTGCAGGACTTTTTTATGCTATCATGTCAATATGAAACAACATTTCGGAGGAATTTTACTGACATGTTGAATGTAAGCCATGTAAGATGGGAGGCATTTCAGAAGTTTATAATGAGTTTCTACTGGGGTGAACTGAATAATTTGGCCAAGGGATATCATTATGTGCATCCTTAGGAAGGAAACAACACGGTACTCCTGGTTTATATGTCAAGTAGCAGCATTAAGTCACTTTAGACCAAATATTGCTTCAGTAATTATTTTCCCAGGGATTTTTTATTGTGATTACACTGACACAAGTACAGAGCAATGAAATGAACTCTCTACATTTATAACCCATCCCCTTGAAGAGCTGTGGGTTGCCATTGTTTGGCACTCGGGAAGCAGTGTGGCAGTCTGTGGGAGTGGGGCTCAAACGCAGAACGAAAGGATTTAAAGCTCTATGCCACCTCTCCCCATTGGGGAATAAAACTCCAATTGCATGCTTATTCTCTTTTTAAAGCAACTAAATAAGAAAACAATCTAACAAATAACTTTAAGGGTTCTGCAAAAACATATAAAAGCTCCATAGTTAGAAAGACCTTGACAAAAGCTACATGATATAGAAGATACTGACTGTCATGTTTGATTTTTGATTAAAAATATCACCAACCTGAATAAGCAGAGAGACCATTGATGTCCCGTCACATCCTTGGTTTGAGGGTTTGTGAAACTCCAAGTCAAAGTAAAGCTTGCACACTGCCCCCTCTGGTATCACCTCATAACAATGCATCAAGGACTGGGGGTAAACCCTAAAAAAATGTAGAGGTAGTAAGTAATTAAATGAATTACAAAAACAACAGCAACTGAAGCAAAAACGTGACCTAACCTGTAATAATGCCACAGCTCGCTGTAACTGGTGACCAGAAAAATTCTCTGACCATGTGAAGCCTTTTCTTTTTCAAGGGCAAAAACATGGACGGCCTGTAGACAACATAACGACAGACGTTAGCTGTTTTAGCTTCACACAATGAGAAGAAGCTGCATGTTGCTCATGAAGGCCGTGCCTCTCTACAGCTTTGAGCAAAGCTGATGGCCAGGCTCTGCCGAGGGAAGAGTTTCCAGACAGAGGAGGGCTGGAGGGGCCACAGTCGGGGTTTGTAGGGCGTCGTCAGGGGGTTCTGCTGGAAGGACTGAGCAAGCTGCTCCACTTTCTTCAACCGGTCTCCCCACTTGCTCATTCTAAGGTCCAGCTGATCACTTTCATGCAATTCAACGAGCCGGCAAAAAACAGAGGACTTGTAGCACCAATCCTCTGTTTTCAAAACATAACCCTGTTAAAATAAAAATAAAAGTTGAAATAAAAAACAGATAAAAATAACCCGAGGAGGAAAGGTTGTTAGGAAAGCAGTGAAAATAAAAGGTTTTGAATAAATATACTCAATTTTAGTTTATTGCAGGTTTTTCTTGAATGTGAGAATACACTTTTTTTTTAAAAACATGTATCTTATTGTTTTCATAATTTTGCCAAGTTGAAAACAGAAGCTTACATTTATGGCGGAGATACACTGCAAAGGTTTTACAGTAATGCCTGAAGTAAATAATAATAATAATAAAATAAATAAATAAATACAAAAAAATTACAATAATACAAAAAATAAAATTAAAAATTTTAATTAAAAAATGACTGAAGTAGGGTGGGGGGGTGGGTTCTATACTACATATTAGATAAACATAAGGGTAAAAATTATCTTGTAATAAAACAAAGGCTTCCAATAAGGGGGAAATTTCTTCATTTCAATATTACATAACTAGCAATAGCATAAGAGCAGTGTGTGTGGATAGAATAAACATGTAGTTTCATCTATTTTTGTACAGAAAGTTTGAGTAAAAAAAAAAAAAAAAAACAGGGTTTTAAAAATAAATCAGCACCTCGAAAAACCTTTTCGTTTCAACAATGTTTAACCAGTTATACGTTTATTTTTGTTATAACTAGTTTATAGATTTAGTTCCTTGTTGCTCGGTGTGCTACATTACCAGTGTATTTCCTCTTTGTCTTTCTTCGCTGTTTGGTTCAAAGACGGTGTATTTATGGAGAAAATGTCTAGTTCTAAACAGAATGTAAAAATTAGCTGTTTATGTTTTGGCGCTTCAAAAACCGGAAATGGACTTTCCGAACTCGGGGGGTTTACCTGAAAAGATTCAGCTCGGACTGAATCATAGGAACTCTAGCTTTATTCTATCATTACCTTATAATAATTAAAACAAAATAAAACTAAAATTCATGTAAAGTCAGTTATTTTGTCGGTGTAACACAATTTCCGTTTATAGCCCTCTCATTCACGAATGGTATCATCCGCTTATCCATTTCCTGTATAGCTTTTTTCAAAATAAAATGTATTTATGGAGAAAAAACAGTTGGGAAAAGCGATGTTGTCTAATTCTTTTTATCCAACCCTTTTTTTTAGTTTCTACGTTTTTTTTGTTTTTGTTTTTTTTTTTCTAGTTGGGTAAAAGATTCACACTAAAAAAATGAATAAATGTTTGCACAAATTGTGCCATCTAAGTTGATCAGTGTACATGAAACTAAATTTAGTGATGAAGAACTCTTTTAATTAAATTTAATTGAACTTTATTGATCTCACAATGGAGAAATTAACTCTCTGCATTTAACCCATCCCCTTTGAGGAGAAATGGGCTGCCACTGTGCAGCACCCGGGGAGAAATCAGGGGTTAAGGGTCTTGCTCAGAGACCCAGAGTGGCAGTCTGTGGGAGTGGGTTTTGAACTCACAATTCCAAGCCCTATGCCCTAACCACTCTCCCCCCGTTGAAATAGGATAGACAAAAAAAAGGTACCCTCAAATAATTTGCAGCCTCCTGAGTTCTGCTAATTATCATTTCTTACAATAAAACAACTAACTTACCAAGATTTACCTGCATCTGTAAATCAAGTGTTTTTAATAATTGATAAAGGATTCTGGGAAAAGGACCGAGTTTAATTTTCCATCATGCACAGATGTTTATTTTCATTTTGCCAAAAAAGAAAATAAAACAACTGAAAGAAAACATTGTGCATTGTGTTATAACTTTATACCCTCTTATTAGAACTCTCGCTGCACTGATCAGAAGGAGGAAAGAAAGAAAGAAAGAAAGAAAGAAAGAAAGAAAGAAAGAAAG